AGACCAATTTTCCCTATAAATTTTCAACCCCAAGAATTTACTTTGTGTAGAAGATTTGCATGAAAAAAAATCATTTTCAATCAATTTTCATTAAAAGCTCTTTTATTCAAATAAAATACTTTCACGAAATTACTTATATGTTCAAAATTAGCTTTTTAATTAATAAATATTTTTTTATTTTCAAAAATTCTGTTAAACGGACCAATGTAAATACATAACAAAAGGCTAAACACATAAACGAGGGTGTGTTAGATGTATATTATTGAGAAAAGAATGTATTTTAAATAGTAATATACATAATGTATTTTGGAAGAACGTGTGTCAAACAGGGGCCGAATATAATGGTACGATGAATACACATGCAAGGAGGCCATTTGTCAACTATATAGATGTGCTAAAGTCATTACCATAACAATTGTCGACCAAAGTTTCTACTTTCTAATGTACTTCACCTGCTTAGGATTCACATTGTAGCCATGTCAAATTGGGTGCTGCCTAGGCCTAGGACCCTTCCTTTTTTATTTATTTTTGCATGTGATCATCAAAATCTTGGTTTTGCCTGTCCACTATGGTTAAAAATACTATGGAAGACTTTAGCATAATTAACAACCATCATGGAAAATTGTAACATTTAAAAAAAAAAAACCATCTATCATTTCATAATACACCCACGTACTACTGGAATTGATAATCATCTCGAATAAAAATAAATACATCAGAAAAAAAATATACGAAAAACTAGTTCTTGACACTGACGGATTGACGTGCAAAAAAAATTTATATGTTAATCCGACTCGACGTGAATCTTGCCCCTGGTCTTCTACTCATGGTATCATGATATTTTTTTTCACCAGTCAAATGACAAATGCTAGTCAATGGTAAACTATTTATTTAAATTTGTTTAAAAAATATTCGTCCACAACATTATGGCGTGTGGTGCGGTGTACGTGCGCCTACATGCACATTGTTTGGTAATACAATCACATGGTGTTGGGTGGGCGGCAGGTAGGGATAATGGACCCATTTTTTTATCGTTGAGTAAGATCTACTTTGAAATTAACGACCAATCATATGTGCAAATTGATTACTAAACACAATAAACGGTAGATTTGCACGCCTCTCCTCTCTTTCCTTTTATAGTAAGTCTCCTCATCTCCAAAAGAAGAAAAAAGAAGGGGAATTTTATCTTTTTTTTTTTTTTACAATTTTAAAGTTTTTAACCCAATAAAGGCTCCATTAAGTTAGTCGTGAAAAATGGAATAGAGGGTTATTCAGATGCTTCGTTGTTCTTTAAAAAAAAATTCAACGACGATTTTAACCGTGACTCTTGTAAATCGAAAGATAAAGTTGAAATTAACGTGTTGTCTTTCGTGTATTGGTATTAAGAAAATAAATTGAATCCCCATCGACTGTCATACTGTGGATTTAACTATTTTAGACCATTGGCTGTCGGCCACCAAAAAAATTGATGTCAAATATCCCCTACACCAGGTAAGTCCAAGACAAGTAAATAACAACATCTTTAATATTGTCAATTCACGTGAAAAGATGTTTCACCTTACCATCTAACCTTAATTAGGAAAAAGACTAGGGCAGTTCTTTCATTAGTATGAAATTGTCACGATTAAGTCATTCGTCATTATCATATTCTCATGTATAGGCTTCATATTTCCATTATATTTGTCAAATAATAATGAAATCAGAAACGTGCGTAATTCAATCGAGTTTAATGTCTCCAGTTAGCACAATTGTTAGAGTCCGTTTGATAAACAAATATGGAAATGAATTTCAATTCCAATTCCAATTCGTTTTCTGTGAAAACAAAGAAAATACACTTTAAAATGTTTGTACCTTGAAATTCAATTTCAATTTCAATTTCCACGTTGTAATCAAATGATCAAAGTAGAATTCGTTTATCTCGAATATGACATTTTTCATGAAATTCGTTACAATCCAACGGGGCCTAAAGCTTTTGACTATATGTCTTTTTTTTTAATTGAAAAATTATCGATGATTTTTGAAAAGTCAAATTAGCATTGAAGTGATTGTTTCGTTAGCATAACTATAAAATGTTTTTTTTTTTTTTTACCAGCCACGTTATTATTCGACTAACACTAATTATTTGTCATGTATTTCATAATTTTTTTAATAAATAATATTTCATTCATATCCTATAATATCTATTAGAATTAATATTTTAATTACAAATATTTCTTTCGTATCCAATAATATCTATTATAATTAATATTTTAATCACACCTGGGAATATTTTATTATATTATCAAATTGGTGAATAACAAATTCAATTCAAATAACAAATCATAAACTTAACATCGATACTTATCATAAAAACACATTAATAAATTATTTCTTTTTTACGCACAAACAAATACACTCTCTTTTATTATTGCTAGATAAATTACTGAATAAAAATAGCAAAACCGATTGATATAATGTCAAAATCAGCTATCAATTTCTTATGTTTACTATGAGTGGTATAATTGGCAAATGAAAAGGTTAAGTGGGATTATCCTTAATTAATTAACATAATTAATCTTCAATTTTAATAATAAATGACACTTCAATAATTAAAATCAATATAATATAATGAAATAGAACAAAATTAAGCACCATTTATAATGAATAAGTTAATTAAGGATAATAACTTGATGTGATATCCCTGTTTGTTTCGGATTAAAATCAGATTTTAATTTAACTCAAAGTCAAATAATTAATATTAACCACATATTTCATGGGTCTCACAGTTTTTCAACCATACATTTCAAAAACTGTTATCACAATTTACTAAAAATCTAATTTAATCAACATTAAACACCCAGTTAATATATACTTCTATGATTGAAATTTTTTGAGACGATGAAATATTACAAATGAGCAATCTTTTTATACTACATTTATTACATAAAAATTAATTGTTAATATATGAATTTAAACATCCACTAAAATTCTTAGATAAATGAATAGAAGTAAGAATGCGTTTGATTGTCATGAAAAATATATCATAGAAAAAATATTTTCCCTGTTTTTGGGAAAACAAAAACATACTCTCTCCAAAGAAAATATTTTACTTAAAAACAAAGAAAATTAGGCATATTTTTAAAAGTTGGGAAATATTTTCCATGAAAAAAATAGCAATCAAATACTTTAAAGTAAGAATTTATGTGAAAAACTGACATTTTCCATGAAAAATAAATGCAATCAAACACACTCATGTAGCTCAAGATTTATCGAGCTAGATTAATATTAATGTTAATTAATTAAGATTTAATAACACTAAATTCATACGTGATAGTGATTTTGTAGTATTTAATATATATTGAAAAATGAAAAATAAGGTATTATCGAAATAATTGAAATGTAGTAGGGTTAAAATCGTCCTATAGATTAAACACATCTTAGTATTCATTCTTAATTGAAATAATAATATTAGTAATCCTACTGCAATTGTGTTTCTTTTGAATGTCAATTTTAGTTATTGTCAATATTAAATAGTCGTTGTCCTTTTCTCCAATTTTTTTTGTCTTTCTCATAGAGTTGTCCATTGTCGTCCCACCAAAGATAATATATTATTTTATTTTGTAATATAGATGAAAATAACTAAATGGAAAATGTCATTTTGTCAGAATAAATTTGACACTTTGATCGACATCCTATCACATTTGTGGTGGGACCCATGCGGGGCCCATATGAATTAAAAAAGAAAAAAATTCCCCCCACGCCCAATGTTGTGAGTGCCTGTCAGACTCTTCCTGGTAACCCAGCAGGGTTCTATCTAAATAAAGCTAACTAAAATGCCGAAAATTAATATAGCGATTGACTAATATCTTCTTTTAAAATTCACTTTTAATCCATATGTTGAGATCTTATATTGAAAATAGCAAAAAAAAAAAAAAAATCTCATACAAAATTAAGTAGTTAAATTATCATTATAACGTGAATTAGAAAACCTTTATGATTTTAGGCGAGAAATAGTTCCTTCGTGGTGGTTACACATCGCTTGTGTGGTGACGAGTATAATGTTCCGATCAAGAACATCTCTTTTCAGTGGACCACATGAAAGAAAATCGTAAGGAAACACATTAAGCAATTGAGATATGGAGGGACGTTTATAGAGCAAGCAGTATACCTTCCTGCATCATATGTAACTGAACCATCTCAATTTTACGATTTCTTTTTCACAGTTGTCAATAACCGTCCCTCTATAAAACGATGCTTTTGTTTTAGTTATTGATGTAATTCATTCGAATATTTATATATATATATATTTTTTTTCCTTTCGACAACCATTGGATTACGTTTGAGAAAATATATATACCGTGGATTAAAAGGGATTTTATTGTCAATTTGACTTAATACTAATCTTTGTCCAACCAAAATTAATTACGTAGCAGTTAATCTGATTCACAACAAACTGGACCCACCTTATCGATCCAACAAACAGCTATGGAAAAGAAGAGAAGAAAAATAAAAAGTTTTTTTCCACTGAGTTAATCACTCATTTATTGATTAACCAAGACCATAATTATTAATTACCAAAATCTAACCACTCTTTTCACTGATTAAATGCACGAGGATTTGATTAATCTAATTAATTAAATCTGAATTATAAACGGGAAAAAAAAAAAAATATTTGGAACATTAGTCCAAGGAAGAATAAAAGGTAAGAATACAAAAGATCCTTATTCTTACCTTGCACAAAACAAACATACCATTAATACGCACCCTTTTGGAGCCTTTCCTCCTCGGCCTTCTTGCTACCATCAATTATTTCACGAGAAAGCGTCGGCGCGTGACTCCGGTTTTCACCACCCCTATTCATAACCTTCCAAACGTCATAACCTACGCATACTCCCTTAGCCCCCCCCCCCCCCCCGGCCCCCCACACACACATATATATACTTCTCTCTGTTGAAAAACAAGACCCAAACAAAAACCATCTAACCATCTTCTTTCTCTTCGTTTTCATTGGGTAGGTGCAAATGGCGAATTTGGGCAACCTAACGCACTACCTTACCTTAAAAACGAAGAAAACCAGACTCTTCTACATGGCGTTGACCGCCGTTTTATGCTCGGCGTTCTACCTCATCGGAATTTGGCAGCACGGCGGCTTAACCACCGGTGCCACCTCCTCCACCGTCCTCCTAACCACACTTCCATGCAACCCAACAAAAAACATCACTTTCACCACCCGCTCCAACAACAAAAACAAGCACACCACCCTTGACTTTACCGCCCACCACAAAGCGGAAGAACTTGTCCCGATTGAACCAACGGCACGTGTCAAACACTTCCCAGCATGCGATTCAAAATTCTCCGAGTACACTCCATGCCAAGACACGAAAAGATCTTTGAAATTCGACAGAAAGATGCTTGTTTACAGGGAAAGACATTGTCCGGCAAAGCATGAATTGTTGAAGTGCAGAATTCCGGCGCCGTATGGGTATAAAACGCCGTTCCGGTGGCCGGAAAGTCGAGATTATGTTTGGTTTGCTAATGTACCGCACAAACATCTGACGGTCGAGAAGGCCGGCCAGAACTGGGTCAAATTCAAAGGGGACCGGTTCAGTTTTCCCGGCGGTGGTACTATGTTTCCACGTGGCGCCGATGCGTACATTGATGACATCGGAAAATTAATCAACCTTAAAGACGGCTCCGTAAGGACCGCCATTGATACTGGCTGCGGGGTACGTGTATAATTCTTGGAAATTACACTGTCGATTTTCTACATTATATTATTCGATTTTTTTTTATAATTTAAGATATTTACTTTGAAAATTAATTTCAGCAAATCATGAGTAAGTTGAAAAAAAAAATTTAAGTAATAATTGTCAAATAGAGGCTAAATTAGTCACACGGTGAATGACTTTTCACTTGCCAGTTTACTGTTTTATTGCTTGAATTAAGTGATTTTTTATTTTATTTTATTTCATCATCAAGACTTTAAATTCAATTATGAATAAAATTGTTTATTTAAATGAGTTTTAAATTTGAGGAGAAACCAACTTTAGAATTTTTGGCTTGTGCACGAACTAAGGTAGGTTGAAAATTGGCTATATCACGTTAGAGACGTGTAGACTTGTATGTGTAATTAATATTTATTTCCTTAAATTATTTAATTATTACGTTGACTATTGACTTTCTTAAAGAATTTTAATTTATTAACATGCAAATAGATTTTAACATTTGAATACCGTATTTTCTAAATATTTTATGGTTTCACAAAATTTAAAATATTATTTATTATACTTAGGTACTGAACAAAACTCGACAAGATTTTAATTTTATTTGCTTTCTTAATATTGCCAAAAATCTAAACATTTGAATGCTGGTTGAGTGTATTGGCAATAAAGCATTCCTTAAATGACAATTCTTGTGCATAATCCGTTGAGTCATGGTAGATACATGCAAGTGATGAATATTTGATAGTATAAATTTTCTTCTTTTGCACTCTAAGAATATGTATTTTTTTTTTCTTTTTCTCACTTAATTGAGCCCATTAGGGAAATAATTACACAATAAAAGAACTGTGCTTACCTTTTCACACTTCCAAGATAAATAAGTATTTATTCCAATATAAAGTATGGGTTTTACAGATGGAAAGGAAACTTGTATAACTATCTATCTTTATCCAAACATTTTTTTTTCTCTCTCTAAAAGAATTATAGAGCACGACTTTAAAAGCATTTCGTTGACTTGAATCATGTTTGGTACACAGTACTCAATACTCGACATGTAATAGACAAATAGTATCTAGTACACTGTCTAATCCACCTTACCTTACCAAATTGTATTGGGGGATAAGGAGAGAGTGTAGAAAACGGCTTCTCATATAAAGTTGTGCCAAGTTTCGAATTGAAAATTTTGGTTAGTTATTGTCCTATGTTCTGCAGGTTGCTAGCTGGGGTGCTTACCTTCTCTCTCGAAATATCCTACCGATTTCATTTGCACCAAAAGACACACATGAAGCACAAGTGCAATTTGCTCTTGAACGTGGAGTTCCTGCACTCATAGGAATTTTAGCCTCGAATAGGCTACCTTACCCTTCAAGGGCCTTCGACATGGCTCATTGTTCTCGCTGCCTTATTCCATGGGGCCAGTATGGTAAATAATCTGTTTAACATATGATATGTTATATGTGTAAGTAAGGAAACTGTGAAAATTAATGTTAACTTCCGAAATTTCTTGGGTAGATGGACTTTACTTGACTGAAGTTGATCGGATTTTGCGACCTGGTGGATATTGGATTCTGTCTGGACCACCAGTGAACTGGGAGAATCACTGGAAAGGCTGGAACAGAACAAGAGAAGACCTGAATCAAGAACAAAATGGAATCGAGAGAGTGGCAAAGAGCCTGTGCTGGAAGAAATTGGTACAAAGAAATGACCTTGCCATTTGGCAGAAGCCTACTAATCATGTACACTGTAAATTACAGAGGAAGATTTTCAAGAAGCCTCCCTTCTGCCAGGCTCAGGAAGCAGATAAAGCATGGTACGTTAAGATTAAACGCTTTATTTTGCAGGTTAATACCATATACTCTCTTGTAACACACTAATGCATATTTCTATTTTCACCTTTTGCGTTGATTCAAATTGGCCATAATTTTCAATTTTTTATGCGTTTTCTGATTTTAAATTTGTACTGTTGCAGGTATACCAAGATGGAAGCCTGCCTGACTCCTCTGCCTGAAGTGTCTGATATCAAAGAAATTGCTGGCGGGTCTCTAGCAAATTGGCCGCAGAGATTGACTGCTGTTCCACCGAGAATTCTTAGTGGAAGTGTAAAAGGAGTCACAGCAGAAATCTTTGAAAAAGATACAGAATTGTGGAAGAAAAGAGTATCACACTACAAGGCCTTGGACTCTCAGTTAGCAGAGCCTGGAAGGTACCGCAATATACTTGATATGAATGCCAACTTGGGAGGATTTGCAGCTGCACTTATCAATTATCCCTTGTGGGTTATGAATGTCGTCCCTGCTGAGGCAGAAGTGGATACACTTGGGGTTGTTTATGAGCGTGGATTGATCGGGACTTATCAGAACTGGTATGCCTCTTTTCATCCTATGAATCATTTTAAAAGTTGTACCAAATATTTTCTTTCAGTAATGAAAATCACAAATATTCATTTGCTCGATACTTGTTTATTTAGCTCTCTGTATGTTGTTTCTGATCCGAAGTATTGTCCTAGGTGTGAAGCCATGTCTACTTATCCAAGGACTTATGACTTCATTCATGCTGACTCAATATTTACCCTCTACAAAGACAGGTACTTTATTCTGGTTTCTTCAGAGAAAACATCATAGAACATATTATCATAGAATACCGACTGACTGAACATTTTCTCACATCGATAAATTCAGGTGTAATATGGAAGATATTCTGCTTGAAATGGACAGAATCTTACGACCTCAGGGAAGTGTGATTATACGAGATGATGTTGATGTTTTGGTCGACGTCAAGAGCATAGTTGATGGACTTCAATGGGACAGCAGAATGACTGACCATGAAGGCGGCCCTCATGTGCGCGAAAAGCTTCTAATTGCAACCAAGCAATACTGGACTACCCCAGCCCCCAACCAAGATCAAGAAGTGTCAAATTCATAGTGGTTTTTTGAATCTACATTAATCTGATTCTTGATTTTTTTTTTTTTTTTTGTCGATAGCTTTCGTTTTTTTTATTATAATGATTTTTATACTACCCCAACCGCTTTTGAATATCACATTCGGTTGGAGTTTCAACCTAAAGATAACTGTGAAACAGCAAGATTTGAACGATTTATTATTGGAAACTCACATTGTACTGGTGGCATTTTTAAGTCTCATTTGTTATGACTGAAGTTTGATTGACTCTATCTATAAGCACAATTTTGAAGGGTCTTGTTATTGCAAGTCTACAACTAAGATACATTCTTATACTCTGAGTGATTATGTAAGATTTGGTTGCAGAGGATTTGCTGTTCGATGCTTGCTTGTGTATGTATAACTAATGTATCTCTTTGCAACAAAATTAGGAAAAGTTCACCAATGCAAAATACACCAAGAAAGTAGGCCCTAACTCCGTTGACCGTCCCTGCCCTAGGGCAAAATTCTCCTTCTTCATCCCCACCCGAATACCAGATTAAACGGGTAATTCTAGCCCCGTTTGGGGTGAGACCCCGCAATTATCGAATTTTTAGAATTTTTTTGCCATCCCTACCCCAAACCGTTGCACAAATCTCTTTTCTCTCAAATAGGGTTATCCCATTTCGGCTTGCCATGGGCTATTCCATTTCAAGAAAGTTCATTGATATGATTAGACACTAGGGACGAGGAATGACCTAAACCCAGAGTTTAGTTTCAACTTTCTAAAAATCAGAATTTAACTTTATTTAATCAAAAATCAGATTTTAATTTTACAATTAATATTAATAATGATATTATAAAATTAAATTACTCTATATACTCCACCTATCCCCACCAAACTCTAAACCCTAATTCCCAAACCCTCCTATCTCCTCCCCCTCCCTTCCTCCCGTCTCCACCCTTTCTTCCCAGTGGATCTCCCATTCCCTTCACAGTAGCCTCCTCCTCTTCTCCCTCCTTTCCTCCCCATCCCTCCTTACTCCCTCTCTTTCGTCTCTTTCCCTTCTCCCTCATCTCCTCTCTTCCCCCTCTTCCAGCTCGCCCTTCGTCAGCCGTTCTTCACAATCGAACGTCTTACGAAGATTAGTTATCGAGTGTGAGGCAAATATTGAATTTCTCTTCCCACTTGAAGTAGAGGTCGATGAATCTGCTGGCATTGAACACGACAAGATAGGCACAAAACCTGCTAAAGATGTTTCAAATATTTCCATGGAGACAACCCCGTCCCTCGAGGAAGCTGTGGGTATACGCCGAAGCATACATGCTGCACTGAGAGCCATACAGGGCCTTAGAAATGCAAGCTCTACAAACAATTCTTTATTGCTATCGTCGCCACCGTGTAACTGTTGTGAAGACTCAAGATGCCACCACCGCTATTTGGGATTTTTGATGGGCTGTGACTGGGTAGTAGCCGTCTCTCTCTCTCTCTCTCTCTCTTGCTGTATTTTGGAGATCTGTGATGGTGTGGAGATCTGTGTTGTCGACTGTGATGGTGTGGGCAATGTATCTGGTTGATGGTACGACTGTGATGGTGGAGCTGCATTTTTTGTTGTAAGGTGGAGGTGGCGGTGGCGGTTCTGTGGATCTAATATTTTTGGTGGTAGTTGGGATGTTGGCTGTGTTCGTGGTGGTGGTCGTGGGTGTCTGTGACTTAGGTGGGTGTTTGTGACCTAGAAATTGTGACTATAACCCATAAAAGTTTTGATTTTTTTCAATCCGTGACTTATAAAAAATTTTGGTTGTTCTGTGACCAGTTTCCAAGTATTGGTGGTGTATTGAGATTGGGGGACGGGTGCGGTGGGTGGGTCGAAGTGTCTGTGACCATCTATTTGGTTGATCTGTGACCTGTGACAAAGTATTGGTGATGTATTGGGATGGGGGAAGAGTGTTTGGGTGACTGTGACTCATCTATATGGTAACTGTGATCTTAAAATTCGTTACTCTGTGACCTTAAAATATAACATGTGACCTCTAATTTTTTTATCAGTGACATATGAAGTCAACTGTGATCTATAAATTTTTTTAATCCGTGACCAAACTGCATATAACTGTGACCTTAACAATTGTTGGGATCGAAGCAGTTGTCGGAATTAAGTGGTGGCAGAATGATCACCGGAGTAGTCGCAGGAATAAAGCGCGGCCGAAGAATAATCCCCGGAGTAGCCCCCGGAGTAATGGGGGTTGTGGAGATGGAGGTGGGGTATATTATATTATATTACAATTAAATATTTAATTTAATATAATAATTGTGAAATATAATTGATTAATTCAAGAAAAACCTGATTTTTGGAATTTTAAACTTTGAGATCTGATTTTTGATTTTGGGATAGATAAAGTCTGAGTTATGAATTTTTCCTAAGGGAACAATACATAAATAATGTATTTAAGTATCACCATTTCAAAATTAAGGTTTGAGGTTTTAAATTTCAAAAATCAGGTTTTCATTAAAATTTAATTAATTAATTAATAAATATATAAATGTCACAGATCTATGCAATTTGGTCACAATTCAAAAAATTTAAAGTCACAATTCAAAAATTTTATAGGTTTAGGGCCACAATCCAAAAATTTTAAGGTTACAATTCAAAAATTTTATA